CAAATAAATCACAAATCACTAGATTGAATAAATTTAATTACTTTTCTGCGTGCAAAGCTGTTACACGAGATGGAATGCACTTGGAAGAACGTATTAGACGTCAGAAAGGCATTTCAACAAGTGTTAGGCAATTACTTAAAATCGATTGTCCAGAAAGTAAAAGACATTTGTTTAGTCATAGTATTGCTATTGTTCACTGATTTACGATGAAAATTTTAATTGATCCTGTTCATTTTAAAGAATATATTGAAATATGGTGTGAATAATGTCGTTATTATTGTATATGGTAAGCTTTACATCGTTTTTAAATTAGATATTTATTATTAACTTAATAATAATAATATTTATAATGAATGATCCCACAGCGATTGAACGATGAAAAGAACCGCTTCTGAAGTGCTAAATATTAAAAAATCAATAACATTATTTTCATCAGTGTACAGCTTGCCCATGAGGATACACTTCTTTGTTTTGCTTTAACGTTGACTGTTTACACCCACTTTCACAAATTAATATAATATGTTTGATATAATTAAATTTAAAGTTTATCGTTTTAATTCGACAGATCAGTACATTTTTCTTTAGTAGTTTCGTAGTCGCTACCCTAAAAGTCGATTCTTATAGATGAATCTTATCAGAAACTTATACTAGAAGTTTCTGATAACAGCATTTAGCAGATGTAAACCATTTTCATAATGAGTTTTCTGAATTAACCGACGTTTGAGCGCCCGACATTTGAGCGCCGACACTTGGGCGGCCCTGACACTTGAGCGACCGACGCTTGAGCGACCGACATCTGAGCGCCGACGCTTGAGCGACCGACATTTGAGTAATAGCGACAGTTCACCACCAAGTGCTTCGCCTCACCATGGAATCCCATTTGGGAAACGCTGTTATAGATGAATCTTATCAGAAACTTATAAGTCTCTTATGAATTTCTTATAAGATTCTTTTGTATTTAAATGAATTACCTCAGGAAAAGTAGCTTACCAGGCCGGTGATCGAATAACCGTGCCATTGTATATGATGATAGGATCAATAATTGTCTCTAATGATGAAAACAGGTTCTCAAAATCTGTCTCTTTTTGAGCAGTATTCAAACGGAGACAAGCAATGGATGGACATGCAATGGATGCGCATATCCGGTTTATCCGTCATATTGATTCAATTTATAACTAGAATCGGACATGATCGACCGATCAGAAATCAGCGGGAGAATGCTAAACAAAAAAAGGCCTGAGAGTGATTTTTTGACGAAACGCGAACTAAACGTCAGAAAAGAATATAATAAAGTTTATTAAAAAACATAGTAACTTTAAGTACGAGGTTAAAGTTTTATACTGACTACAGCTTCAAATAAAAAATCTATTTATTATTGTTTGTTATTAGATTTTATTTGTATAATATTTATATTAAAACCAAATAAATTGTTGTTGAATAAATTTAATTACTTTTATGTCTGCATAGCTGTTTTCGAAAAAATAAACTCAAGTAATTCAAAGTGTAAATAGACCAACGATCGATGGTATGTTTAAGTCCTTTTTGTGGTTTAATGATCCTACACGGCTTTCAATCTTCTGCTCCAGGATCCAATCGCAGAAGAGTCCAACGCACAAAATCGTTGGTTAGCTATGCAAAAAAACAGTGTTTGGGGCTCTAGGATGTCTAATCCACCAAGGTCAAGCATGTTGTCTCAATCTCCAGATACAGCGACACATGTTCAATATATTACACCGCAATTTGATCCTCGTGCATCATACGCACAATCAATTAAAAATAATACATGGGACAATTCAATAAATCAAGGAAAACCTCAACGCAGTGCTCAGTAAATAAAATGACTTTTGCACTCTCTAAGTTGCAAAACTCGTTTCTTTTCTCTTTTTCATGCCTATGTGTGCATCAACAACAATGAAACCGCTACTCGTTGGCTTGTTAATTGGTGTGTTGGGAGTGGGTGTAGCACTTGCAGTGATAACAACAATGTGGATTAACTCAGGTGAGATTTTACTTTTTTATTTTTTTCATTTCTTTCATTATTTCAGTTTGCAACATATTGATTCGACTAAGCTAGTCAACAGTATAAGGCGGTCCTCGTTCCATTATTTGGTGTTCTGCTTAGCTCTATGCAGTAGATGCTACTCGAATGCGGTTTATTTTTATGAAAGTTATACAGGAAATGCATGAAAAAAGTGGCTCAAAAATACAGAGTTGTTCAAAAAGTAACGAAAATAGTGAATGGGAGTTTTTATTTTTCTCGTTCGGTAAATGCGTATTATATTTCTAGTTTCAAAACATCATGTTTCTAATCTTTAAGTTAAATACGTAGAACAAAAGACACAGATAACGTTTTTCACATTCGGGTATGAGTTTCTTCTTTGAAGATCGCTTTTTTACTTTTCAGACAATTTCTACTACTTTATTCAATACACCTCACATCTTCATTTTTCTTCAACTTTCTTTTTTATGTTGTTTGTTATATTATCAACCTATATTTTATTTTATCCTTACATACTCTAGTATTCAGAGCGAGGTCTGTAATGATGTTTTCGCAGGTCTTATTTGAAAAGAATCAATAAAGATATAAACAAAACAAAAAAGACAGAATTATTCTTATGTGGTATGATAAAAGTATTAAATTAAAAAGTAGTAGTATAAAACGTATACAACGTTTATTCGAAGATATAGCGAGTAATGTCACATTTTATGTTAGCATATATTTATTAATTACAATAATAATAATACAATTATTAACAGAATAAAACATATTTATAATTTTATGCGATATCGATTCTCATCATATACTTTTAGATATTCATCGTTTAAGACAAATTGATTCAATATTTATATATTGTATTGATAAAAAATAAATATGAGCCATCAAAGATGAAATATTCGAAAATTGTTAGTATTTATAACGAACAATCGTTACTCATTAATCTCTTATATACCATACAAGACATGTTGAAAAACAAATGATAATTATGAATTTATATAGTTATTGTAGACAAAAGTCACGTAAAAATTTATCTCAAGAATCGCCATCAATCATTTAGTATCAAATATTAAAAAAATTGCTACTGTATGAAAGGTAGTGTTTTTTAATCAGCCTTTTGGCAAATATTTGGATCGCTCTGTGTATGGTTTCTGATGGACCTAAAGTTTAAATCAAGGAATAAGCGAGATTTTTGTGTTTTGAGTAGTGGAAATCTATCCAAATGTCAGAATTTTATCTCTCAGAATAAACGGCCGCTACGTCTCAAACTATATTTGCCCCACATATATCACCATACCTATCTAATAGCTCATTGCTGAAAGGCGAAGATACGGGCAAAAGTAGAAAAGATAACACCTACCAGATTATGCTCAACATTTCAATCAAATTCTTATTAGTCTCCTAATTACATACCTCTCGAAAATAGAACGAAACAAAATATATTTGATGAACCAATAAATTTTTGGGAGGTCCTAAAACAATCTAAAACGATAAAATGCTTCACTTGTTCCGTGAGAGGAAACGAATCTCAGACAGTTCATTATAAAACGTTCTAGAGCTACTGATTTTATTTCTTCTTTTTGACCTTTAGTGATCATACAACGATATAGTTCACTAGAATCTGTACTGTTTCGGTCTTTCTTTCATAAGCAACTCCATAATAAGTTCGCCAAACAGAAGTTGAACTATAATAGTATTATTTATTGCAGATCGTTAAGCCCACGGAATGAAACAGAAGACCAGGCAAGAAAAATATGTTAAAGGTGTGTCGACGATACTGTCGAAATGATCCGCTTCAATTGAAAGAAATCGATAAATTTGAAAGAACATATATAGATCACCGGATGCTATCCAGTGGTATACCAAACAAAATTTTTTATGTCTATTTATTAATAAAGCGCTTCGAACAGAAGATATTGATGTTTGTATACATGCTACTATATTGTTGATCTGTCTGTTAAATTATCAAAACAACACATCGAATTTTTCAATATATCGAATGAAAGCCCGATAGTCTATCGTGGTACTAAGATGAATAATAATGGCATTCAAAGAACGAAAACTAATATTGATGGTCTAATATCAAAAAATGGTTTTCTATCCACGACGTTGAGACAAAAAATAGCTGAATTTTTTGCTGGTATAGGTTCAAATTTAGATAAGAATTTATTATCAGTGCTTATCAAGATTACTCTTAATGTGAAAGTCAAATCATGTGTATTTGCTTCTAAATCTGAAATTAGTGCATTTACCCAAGAGGAAGATGTTTTATTTGATATTGGTACAGTTTTTATTCTAAATAATGTTGAATATAGTACAAAAGAAAATTATTGTTTGGTTAATACAACTGACAACAACAAACAAAGAAGAAGAAATAACAGAAAAATGTATTAATTATAGAATAAAACAACTTGAAGGCATACCATTAAATATTCAGTTTGGCATTATGTTAATGGAAACAGATGAATTTGCAAAAGCCCAAAAAACATTTTAAACAACAATCTGAAGAAAATATATACTATATAGGTGAATTATGCGAAACAATTGATCTTACACTTTCATTAACATTTCCGTAATAAGAAACGTTAATTAGTTATACATGGAATAATGATCAAATTCGAAGTTCACATTCTACGATAGAAAAAGAAGACGACATGAATAATACCGAAAATGTGTCGTTTATAGCACAACAAACTACTATAAAATATTTAGAAAACCAATTATATATGCATTATAACAAAGGTGATTATGAAAATGCCTTAAAATCGTTTTATAAAATTTTAATTGAATTTAGAAAAATAAAATCATATCAATATAAATCCATGGCTCGTTGTTTTCCACATATAGGAAAAATTTATTATTATAAAAAAGAGGAGATAAAATCATATATGTTTTTTATGTGTTCTATTCAACTTTTCAAAACATTTTCAATATTTAATTAATCAGATATATGTGAAACAATGGTATATATTAATAAAATTGAAAAACGTTATAATAAATATATTTTATTATCATCACATGAAAATCGAGAGAGAAAGAATAGTTCTACAAATAGTATCGATTTTATTGATTATTATTTACCATTTATTTAATTTTTGTTTCATATTTTTATCATATCAATGTATGATTTAAACAAAATATTATTCAAAATTAAAATTCAATTAAATGATAAAATCGAAGAGATTAAATATCTTACACTGAATTCTATTCTAAAATTTCAATCGATAATCAAATTTTAAAAGGTATCAACAATATATTCGATAATAATAGAAAAACATTAGAAGAATTGAAGATCTGTTATGAATGTAATTTTCTCTATACATCATCGTTTAATTACAATTTATATAAAAATTTCGAATAAAAGTATCATAACATTAGACATTGATCTATATAACACTATTCAACGTATTAAACAAATCATAGAAAATAAACTAAATATATTCATGAATCAGGGAACGTTGTTTTTTGATAATGAAGAACTTGAAGACCATCAATAGTTATTTCAATATAAAATAAAATCAGAATCAATGCTAGTTTTAATGTTAATAAAGTGTGAAAAATTTAGATCTCGACAATGGTACTATATTAATATCAAAATAGATTTTTTTATAGGTTTTCGTATGCACTCTTTCCAATGGGATGATTTTCAAACTTTGAAAGTATGTTTCTACTTAATTTTTAGAGATCCGGTCTCTAGAAAGCTAGTAGAAACATACTTTCAAAGTTTGAAAATCATGTCATTGGAAAGAAAACCTGTTAAGGGTTACCGATAACCTATAATAAACTGTCTTCTTGTTTACTGACTACCATTGGACGGGGGACGATAAGACCGCAAATCGGCCCACTACCAAATCCATTATGCAGTAACTCATCTGATGCAGTTTTTCTTGCCCATTAAACCTATCATATTTTTAGACAATCAAAATCCTTTCCAACGCCCCTGGAAGCCTTTTGCCAAACTAAAACCTTCTTGCTTTAAACGAAATTGCCCAAAGCAATTTAATTCGCCTAACTCTTTCCCCTACAGGAAGTATCAACTACTATACATCACTCGATAGAGAATTCCACGGGCTACAAAATGATATATGAAATATTGTTAAGAAGCTGTGTCTGAGTAGTCCAAGGTTGGAAATACTCGTTAGCAACTCAGCAAACGGGCGGGTTAAGGTCATTGATGTCAAAAATACTCCATTATTCGGTCATTACCCAGTCCATTACATACACCATTCGATAGAGAATTTCACGGGCTACAAAACAGTCTATAAGATCATCAGAACAAATTGAAATTCCGTCGCCTGAAATTCGAAAAACCCGGTAGCACCTCAGCAAAATCGGCGCGCCAAGGTCATTCATCTCAAAAACGTTACCTTATTCGGTCCATACCCAGTCCACTTCATATACCAATCGGTAGAGAATTTAACGGGCTACCAAAATGATATATGAGATAGTCTTAAGAAGTCGTGTCTGAGTAGTCCAAGCTTAGAAATACTCGGTAGCATACGACCACGCTGGCAGCCCAAGGTCATTCATATTCGCAAAGCCGCCTTATCCGGTCGTTAACCACTCTACTTCATATACGATTCGACAGAGAATTTCACGGGCTACAAAATGATATATGACACAGCCTTAAGAAGTTGTGTCGGGGTAAGGCCAAGATTCGAAATACTCGGTAGCAAATGAGGAAACTGGTGTATCAACATCATTTCTGTCAAAAACGCTCCGTTATTCGGTCGTTAACCAATCTACTTCACATACGATTCCATAGAGAACTTCACGGGCTACAAAATGGTATATGAGATAGTCTTAAGAAGTTGTGTCGGGGTAAGGCCAAGATTCGAAATACTCAGTAGCAAATGAGCAAACTGGTGTGTCAAGGTCATTTATGTCAAAAGCGCTCCGTTATTCGCTCGTTAAACACTCTACTTCATATACTATTCGATGGAGAACTTCACGGGATACAAAATGATATATGACACAGCCTTAAGAAGTTGTGTCGGGGTAAGGCCAAGATTCGAAATACTCGGTAACATAGCAGCAAACTGACGTGTTAAGTTCATTCATGTCAAAAAAGCTCTTTATTCGTTCGTTAACCAGTTCACGTCGCATGCTTCTACGTTGTTCATTTCATGTGCTAGAAAATGATAGATGACATTATCTGAAAGAAATGTAACTGCGTAGTCTGGAAATAGAAATGCGCTTTCACTGACATTGTGTTGATGTGAGATATTTCGTGAATATTTGAACCACTGTGTATTACATTACCAATGAATTGCACGATATCATCTTATACGTAAGTGATGCTCCGGATCGATTAGTTGTATAGTATAATTACGTTCAAAGGTATACGGTTCTATGGCTGTTTAGAATTTGCTATGTTTGTCGATCTCATATTGATGGCTCATCAATGACTACAGCGGCTGAAGATCGAGAGTATCCGAATTCCGGATTTCCCTATTGGCTGAAAACTCGTTAAGTTATAATACTCGTCGTCTGAAATCAGTCAGATTTCAATTGTCAGATTTATTTGTTGGAAGAGAATCGAAGCTGATATCCATATCTTCAAACCTGTATAGAAAAAAAAACTGGACACTGTGCAACAAGCT